GCTTTTCTTCGTCTATGTGTTCAGCACTTCATTCGTTGTCGTATGAAATTTTGTCGTTCCATTTTTTAATATTGCATTTAACAATGAGTTTTTTTTTTAAATTTATATTTAAGGGTATTTAGTTATAACTTTTTGTAATTATTTTGCTCTACTCTTATTATTGCTGTACCGCAATAGTAGTTAAATTTTGGAAATAGCTGAGATGTGAAATTGTGTACGTGAAAAAGGGGAAAATGAGAATCAAAAGGCAACATTAAGTTCGTCCAAAATGGGTAAAATTTATGCGGATAGGGAGAAATAAAAAAGAACGAAGAGAGAGATACGTTCGTTTAGATACTTACCAAACTTGCACGTTTAGTATGTTGCGGTTCGCTTACTTTGTTAGTTTGATGAAATTTTCAGTGCTAATGTAAAAAAGTGAAAATACATAATTGTTCTACGAGTTGAGCAAACGTCATTTAATATCAGTACAAGGCAGAGCCGCTTAAAAATTAATTATACAAGAAAAATCGTGGTTGCACGTAATTTAAAAACATTTTCTTCATTTTAAGTTTAGTTTTAATAGGACCTAAAACATAAAAAAGATTTTGTGCAGGGCTAAACCCCTTAAATATTTTTTTCAGTTAAAAAAAACACTAGAAAACGTTATTCGTGAGTGTGTAATCTGAATATAGCTAAAAAAATACGGAGGCGATGTCCGAAACGGGGTCGCCGGGCAAAACTCAGAAAGGTGGACAGCAGCAGCGTCGCCAATTAGTAAGTACAGAATTCTTTCGAAATAGAAATATATTTTGCAACCAAAATTATAAACAAATTTTCTAATAAGTATACTTTTTTTTTAATATTGTTTTGTTTGACAACCAAAAGAGCATGTGCAATTAAAAGTATGTAAAAATTAGTTTTTCCGTAGCTGTTTTAGTTGCAGAGTCTACGGAGAGCGTTGCCCGAAATAGCTGGCTGCATTGACTGGCCAAAAAGTCGTGTGATAATGGCGCTTACGCTAGCTAAAGTGAAAAATACAGCTCGGCAAATAAAGAAGTGTTGTGAGACAACGACTCAACTCTCGACACAACCCTCCAAATCACCCAGTACATAAGTATATATAAACGTCTGTATTTTGTAGATAGGGTGGAGATGAACTCGTTGAAGGAGTATAGTTTTGCCGACGCATTATCTATTTGTTTAGTATTGTTGAAATATTTGGGAAATTATTAATATATCCCTCAGTCAATTTTCATTATCTACTCTGTTTTTATTCAATCTAATTTCTAAGTCGGTTAAAGAGATACTTTGGTAATCACTGATGCCAGCCGCAAATCAAATTTACCTCGAGTTGTTTAGAAACGAATTAGTGATTTTCGGTGATTAACAAAGAAAATAGTGTGAAAATAACGTGCGCTAATACACAATTGAGATTACAACCACATATATGTATATATGTACATATGTAAGTTCATATGTGCATATGACCATTTGTATACCGTATATGTATAAACTTGCATACATACATATGTATGTAAATATGTATAAATCTGTGTGTACATTTTCCTATTCACATCTGCATATATACATTTGTATAAATGATTCTAGTATTTATATACTTGATAGAGCGTTATAAATTTGTTGTTGTACACGTAAGAGTGCACGCAATAAATAAAAAGGCCCGTAGGCCGCATGGTCTAGCTGTACGCTATTCACAGAACGAATAATCAGCAATTGTACCAACGCGAAGCACTCATAGCAACTGACGCTGCTCAAAAATTTTCACACGCTTAAAAAGAACCTGAGGATGCACTAGTATGCGGGTGATGCCGCATACGGCATATACATATACACACACCTATGAACATAAACAAAAGTCACTCATAGTCACACAGATACAAAATGTAAATACTCAATTTAGGCTGTGTTGGGTAAAACCGTTCAAACAGCTACTGTCACCAGTAGTCTCTCAGAGAGTGGGAATGTTCTTCACGAGTTAATCTGTTCGATACAGAGCTGCCAGAGCGTAACCTTTTCTTTATAGACGGCGTTCACATGGGGACTCTGTTGTCGCTCATTATCGGCAAATTTTTTTTTAGTGTCGCTCTGTGCATTCGCACGAGCGAAAAGAGTCTAGCATCTCTGAGCCGAGTTTTTCTGTCGTCTGTTTCACACAATTTTTGGGAATGTTTGTTTGCTTACTGCCGTCCCTAAATAAAAGCGGCAGCGGTCTGGGTAAAGTTGGCTGCAGAAAATAATAAATTATTTTTTAACCAATGCATTGATTTTTCTGTTATTGCATAGCAAATTTTATTTTATTTTATATAATTAATTATTTTTAAAAATTATGGACCGTAAACGACCTCCATGCTTAGCCACGCCTATTTGACACCTACTTAGAAAATTATTCATTGCGGCCTGAAAGGTTGAAGTCGGGATATCCTCAATTATCAATTTGATGGGCTGCTTCAATTCAGTCAGATTTCTGGGTCTTGTTTTGTACACCTCTCGCTTAACATAACCCCATAAAAAAAAGTCTGATGCAGTCAGGTCAGGCGACCTTGGGGGCCAGCGGAAAGTGGAATTTCTAACCGGTCTGGCTATGTGCACAGTTACTCCATCTTACTGGAACCAAACTTTATTGAAGGGGATATGTCTTCGGCGCAGTTCAGGGTAAAAAAACACATTCAACATCTTTAAATGACGATGCAATGGACTGTTACTGTTACACCGTTTTCTTAAAAGAAGTATGGCCCGACAATACACCTCGATGAAACTGCGCACCCCACGGTGACTCGTTCTGGGTGAATTTCCGTCTTATTTCTATATTTAATTCACTTCATATACGGCAATTTTGTTTTTTTACATTTCCGTTTAGACCAAAATGGTCCTTATCAAACATAAAAGGGCAACTTATCAAGTGATTGTCTTCCTCGACCATTTCAATCAATTTTTGGCAAACCTCCAGGCGAATAGGCAAATTTTGAGGGTTTAACCGGCTTGTTATTTGAACTTTGTACGGAAACAGTTTTAAGTCATCATGAATTATCCGTTGTCCCATGACCGTCTGCTAACTCTAAGTTGCGAAGTTAAGTTGCGACTCGCAACTCTTGAATTTGCATGAATTGACACTATCCAAACCCTCTGATACCGAAAAGCGCATTAATTTTTAAAAAATCTAAATAATAACCTGGCAAATAAAAAGAAAAAAGTAAGTCGATTACTCACACAAAAAAAGTTATTATGGTTTGTTTTTGTAGCACGATTCGTGAGAAGTAAAATTGTCGCTTTAGTTGGGGATGCTGCGTCGGCGTTAACGCTGAGCGGTAAAAAACGGGCCGTTCCACGCTTTTATTTAGGGACGGCTGTTAAAGCGTGTTGCATATTCCATTTGTGTGTTGGGATGGTGGTCTCACATTTTGCTTGAATGGAATTACCATGAACGATATTTAGAATACGCGCTATTAATATTTCCTAAGAAAAACTTATGACGGAAATTCGCTAATCCATCAGAATGTATTAAATATCCGCTATTATCCGTTTGCAATCAAATTTTTATTTTATTAACTTATATTATAGATCATATGCTCAAATTATTTTATAACTGTATTTTACTTCCTGTCAGCGAAAATTATATTAAAATCATCTTCTAATGTGATATATAGAACATAAACACAACCGAAGAAGCTAAATTTAATATTTATATTGAGTTGAGGATTGATGTTCATTATGTTCAGCATATGAGATTTAGACAAAGGTCTTGACCAACTCCATTCATATTCAGCGCTAAACTATTAATTTAATTTTATAAATTTTAAGAAACCTTCTTCATTTCATTTCATTAAAATATCACACATTTTGATCAACCTAAATCATTTAAAGTTAGCTGGAAAGCGGAAACCACTATACAGAGTATATTAGGTCTGGACTTGTTGCATTAACCTTTGACATTGCTCAGGTATACTCGAGACCACATTTTCAAGCAATTTTATAAACATGATAACTCACACACTGACCCACATATTTGGCGTAAGGTTTGTTAGAATAACAAAAATCATTATATGTGGTATAATAAAATATTATTTCAGTTATTTTCGGCATTAAACTATATCTAGTATATTTTAGTTAATTTTGCTAAGGTATCTTACATATTGACCGATACATACGATATAAAGCCAACCGAAAGTTTGAAAATCTTATAATAAGTATATAATAGATAGAGGTGGCATTGTCCCCATTTTACCCATTTTTGGCATTACATTATATTTTTAACAGAAAAAGATGCTCTTAGAATTTCATAAAGGTACCTCACATACCATCACCAATATATGAAGAATAAAATCAACCGAGTGTTTGAAATTTTTTTTAGGTATATAATAGGTTCTTATAACTTAAGCGGTTTAGGAGATAATGTACATAAAACCTATTACAGACTGAGCGATGCCCACTTAAAAAAAGGTTAACTGCAGATGCCCCTCCCTAATGCGATTCGTTATATCAAATAACAGTCTTGTACCTCATTGCAGAGATTAGTTATCACAATTTATTGGTTTTCGATTAATGGCGTTTTGTGGGCGTGGCGATGGAGCGAATCCGCCCATCTGCAATACCAACCTTCTTATGGTGCCAAGAAACCTGTGTACTAAGTTTCACCTAGATATCTTAATTTTTACTCAAGTTACAGCTTGTACGGACAGACGGACGGACAGACAGTCGCCCGGATTTCAACTCATCCTGATCATTTGTATATAAATAGCTCTATAACTAACTCCATTAATTTTAGGAGATACAAACAACAGTTAGGTGAACAAAACTGTTATACAACATGTAGCAACATGTTGCAAGTGTTAGATTAGATTAGACTTTTTTACACTTTAGTATAACTTTTACAATTATGTAATGGCAACAAGAAAACATTAAATGTTAATAGTAAATCGGCATATTTGATTTAAATTGAAAAATTATGAAATTTGAATGTATATGTATGAATAAAAATTACCCCCTTTTATTTAGTTCACGTACTCGCAAAGCACCATATCATTTATTGGAACGAAAACAGAACACTTAACATTTAGTTTTAGATGATTTGCATTTTGATTCTTCTTTCGAACTTGAAACCACATATCTACATATGTACATACATGTATATGTATGTATATCTGCTAATTTGCTGTTGAGCCTGGATATGAAGATACTAAGTGATGTGAGTATGAATGCACTTATATGCATGTATGCATGTATATATATACATACACATATACCGCGCTCAATCCTTTGTTATTCACAAGGAACTTAAGCAAGGCTTAGGTGTAATACCAACATGTAGAAATGAATAAAATAAATGTCGCCAAACTACTTTTTCAAGGAACCAGTATGGTGAGGAGGCTTGCCACTAAGTAAAATAGCGTTTTGCGATTACTGTGCGTTCGATACCGAAATTCAGTTTAAAGAATGTGTATGTATGCATGCATCTGTGTATATACGTACACCCATTTGTATATATTTGCTCGCAAAATGAAGGGCAACAACTTGTTCCTATTGCCTTTTGTTTTTTCCAAAACAAAAACTTTTGCTGAGTAGCATACAACGCTGTTGCTGTTACATATGTACATATTCACAAATTATATATGCACTTCCGAGGTTTTAATGGATTCGAGTGTTCTTGAAGGCCGCTTGTAGTGGTCGCGTTCTCTTAGTCGCAGATGAATTCCCTAAAATATCCATCATAAATTTACCTGTTTAGTGGATAATAGTGACTGTTCTTGTCGGCAGGCCACGTTATATTGTAAATGTTATTCGAGAACAACTGAGTAGACCCGTAAAATGTTGCTGGGTCCGATTTTTCGACTCGCGCATGCGCATCGCATTGCATTGCTCACATACACATTAAACACAGGCTACTTAAACCCACTCAAAAAGATATACATATATGTGCATATGCAACTGTGGTAGTGTTGGGAAAAAAAACTCAAATCGCATTTTAACGCTTCTCAATGCACTCAATACATAAATTCACCACAGATAAAGTTATAGTCTGCACAGAAGCCGTAAACTCAAATTTTATCTGAGTATATTTTGTGATACTTTCCTAAACATTTGCGTGTTATCGCAGCTTACTCACTTCTATTGTTATTTACTGTGCTAGTTATGACCGCCAGGTAAAACTCTACCAGTTAAATTAGTGATTGTTGGCAATAATCAAACTTACCCCAACCTGCCACTTGCCGCTGAGATCTTTCTGTTGTTCTTCGCTCTAACGCGTATTTTCTCAGTTCAAGCTGCATTTATGTCCCAAACCTGCCGTCTGTGTAAATAGGGGAAAGTGACAAATAGCTCAAGTGACGATACAAAAACTATGTAGCATATGATATACATATGTATGTATGTATGTGCATAAACTCAAGATCAAATTTGACCCGCACTGATCTATTTAAACTGCGCGTGTAAACCGAATCGATAAAAAAATTTTAGTTGAATCGGTACAACCTGTTTTTATTTTCGTGTGAAGTTTGAGCGCCATATGTCATTGGCAGCTTTTTGTTAGCGAAGCGAATAGTTTGTCTGACGATTTTTATATGTAACATAAGTATATTGGGTCAATGGCGCGTTTCGCGAAGTGGATTTTTCCGTTTCGAAAATCGAGAGCAGCCCTAAAGATTGTGAGCACAGAAATTACGCATCGAAGAAAGATTCTTTATATAATTTATATTTATGTGACATTTTATACGGAAGATGTTCCCCAGCAAACAAACTATTTATTGTAGTTACGCAGCACATCACGTTGTCTGCAATCTGATTTATTGTTTTAAAAAATGTATTTATCATTACGAAATATCTAATAATAATGCTTAGGCGATGACTAAATTGTAATAAAAATTATTATTCTGGTTATTCTAGCGCGAACGCAAGCAACGTAAACTGTATCTCGAAGAATGGGCACTCGGTGATGATGATTTGGAGGGAACACGAGGGTTCAGCGTCTCAGAAAAATTGGAATCTTCGAAGTTTGCACAAACTGGTATGGTTCGGGAGATGCGTGGCAGTGATTTGAGTGTGGCGTAAGTTTTTCTACTCTCTTGTCCTAAAAACAATAATAATTCATTATCTATTTTAGTTTTCTTCAACAATATGGCTTTAATATTCCATTATTGTTTCGTGAAAAGACCGGCTTAGGACTGCGAATGCCCGATTCTAACGAATTTACTATAAACGACGTACGTCTGTGCGTTGGTTCACGTCGTGTATTGGACGTGATGGATGTGAACACTCAAAAGAACTTACAAATGACAATGAAAGAGTGGCAACAGTATTATGATAATCCACAAAAGGATCGACTCCTTAATGTAATTTCGCTAGAATTTTCTCATACGCGTTTAGACAATTATGTACAATGTCCAGAAATTGTTCGACAAATCGATTGGGTGGACGTTGTATGGCCAAAACGTCTCAAGGACTCACAAAGAGAAGGTACAAATGTGTTGGGGGAAATGATGTACCCAAAAGTACAAAAGTACTGTCTTATGTCAGTGAAAAATTGCTATACGGATTTTCATATTGATTTTGGCGGTACTTCGGTTTGGTACCATATTTTAAAGGGTAGTAAAGTGTTTTGGCTAATACCACCAACAGAAAAAAACTTACAATTATATGAGAAGTGGGTATTATCCGGTAAGCAGGCGGATATCTTCTTTGGCGATACAGTGGAAAAGTGTGCTCGAGTATACTTAACAGCTGGCAACACTTTCTTTATACCCACCGGTTGGATACATGCTGTATACACACCAACAGACACACTCGTGTTTGGCGGTAACTTTTTACATTCCTTTGGTATAGTTAAGCAACTTAAGACCGCGCAGGTGGAAGACGCTACCAAAGTACCGCAGAAATTTCGATATCCTTTCTTCACCGAGATGCTGTGGTATGTCCTGGCACGATACGTATATACACTACTGGGTCACTCGCATTTGGAGGGTGAATCTTCAGTAAGTGAGGAGGAAATGTCCAAACGAGGTCATGTGCATCTCACACACTATGAACTTTTCGGTTTGAAAGAGATTGTCATGTATCTGTATGATTTGCCACCCCAAAAGAAAAATGTACCCGAATTGGTACGGGATCCCGTGGCTTTGATCAAAGATGTGCGCACGTTGGTAGAGCGACATTGCAAGGACAAGCCTGAGCTAGCCATAACGGGTGAATCTGTATTAAAGCCGCCCGGTCAGATGCACTCCACGTTTCAGGTGTACGATCGTGGGGTTGTGAAGCAGGAAATCAAAGCGGAAATTGCACGTAAAAATGCTGAAATCATACGTGAACAACAGCAGTTAGATGCAGCGAATGCCGCAAATGCCGCAGAAAATATATCGCTCAACAATGATATACAAAATAAAGTAGACACAAATTCAAAATCGAATATTGTTGCCATAACAAATGTGGCTGATAACGGTGGTGTCATCGTAAAGGAATATAAAAATGAGCCTATTGAGAATGGTGCCCAACAGACGGGTAAGAGATTAACAATTATATACAATAAGAAGCCTATTAGATTATTATAGATATGTGAAATATAGTTAAATTTTGCTTGTAACCAATTCTGTCAATATACACATGTGCATATTTTCATAATTACTTTTATAAACCTCCAGAATTAACGCACTCTTTTATATATATATGTATTTATTTAAATTTTTTGGATCGAAAATTAAATGTAAATTTTAAAATAATCTTGGGTATATATTTATTTCTCCAATAGCTACATTCATATCACCCACGGATAGTCTTAAGTATCGCCCTCCGAAGAAGATGCATCTCGCAAATGCTGTAGCTGCAGCGGCACATCAGGCCAACAACACTGTCAGTGTTATCGCATCTTGCTCAAGTTATAACTCAGCTTCAACAGCAACAACAACCATTTCAACTGGAACAACCGTTGCTGCAACCAACCAAACACAAAACAATTCACATACACAGCCACTTACACATAACACAAATGCCGTTAACACTACCGAAAACTCTTGTCTTTCGCCGAACGATTCAAAGTTGTCGCCAAATGTCACCGGTACTGGTCAACCGCGTCGACGGCGAACGCGCTGTAAAGTCTGCGCCGCTTGCCAGCGTTCCGATTGTGGGGAATGCAGCTTCTGTTTGGACATGGTGAAATTCGGTGGACCTGGACGCGCTAAGCAAACATGTATGATGCGTCAATGTCTCTCGCCCATGTTGCCGGTGACAGCACAGTGCTTCGTGTGTCATTTGGACGGCTGGCGGCAAGTACCCGTGTCCCCACAAACTAAGCAGCTGGCTTCACTCGAGGGACCTTCGACGCTAATGGAGTGTTCGGTGTGTTATGAAATTGCGCATCCTGACTGCGCGAGGTCGTTATTGGACGGCACCGACGATGCCGCGGACGCTAAAGGTGTAGTAAATGAAGACCTACCAAATAGTTGGGAATGCCCAAGTTGTTGTCGATCTGGAAAAAATAATGACTATAAGGTAAAATTTACAAGAATTCGCTTTCTTTCTATATTATAATTAAACCGAATTCAAAATTCAAAATAGAAGTTCAATTACATTTCGGCTAACCTTGTTCCCTAATTTTGGTTCACATGTAAAAGAGTAGCATTTAGTTAGTATCATTCACATTCCATCTCAAGTGGACGTTGTTGCAGTCTTAGCCAAAAAATGTTATTTATTTACACATAAGCCATGATAAAATTTGACTCAGGCAGACAAAAAAAACTATATTTTTGCATTTTTAATACAAATCTTTATGATCGAATAGTCCAATTTCCAAACAAACAAACATTTTTAATACAAATCTTTATGATCGAATAGTCCAATTTCCAAACAAGTTGTATAAGCCTCAACCTGCATGGCCTTCGGAGAATTTTGGTTTACACTGAATTCTCTGTGCCACTCAAATATTTGTGTTCGTGATAAAGTAAACTCCCCAAAACCAAAAAGGTTGAACGAATCTAGGAGAAAAAGAGCGATTCGATTTGCGCACGCAGATAAGATGGTAACTTCTGGATAACATTGATATTATACATATGTACATTTTTTTATTTTTACAAGTATTTGAACTATTGAGATCCTTTTATAGTGAACTTTTCAACATATAACAAACAAATATTAGTCCCGATACACACCACCCATTAATTTGATGCATTTTGAAGTCGGTTATATTTATAATTAAATAATTAAATTTATTTTGACACTTTATTTTAAATGTAGCCCCGTCACTTCCGTGCCCGCCAAAAGTCTTCGGAGGTACGACGCACATCAATAGGTGGCTCAAATATAATTACAACCGGTCACGATCACGACAGTAACCAATTGCCACCGCCCATTGGGCAATATAATGACTTCGTTTTCACAAGTGAATCTGAAATGGAAAGCTGTTCAGCCAATGTTGTACACTGGAAGCATGTTGCGAAGCGTCATCACCATCAAATTGAAGTAAAGACAGAACGCCATTATGATACCTCTTCGCCAGGAATCTCGCCCCATGCAGCTGGCGACCGCATTAAGAGACGTAAGAGTGACGACGGCTTAAGCTTGTGTAGTAGTATGCAGGACAGTATTGATGCGGGTGCTTCCATGGATTGTCATGTAGGCGTTGGTAACGGTGGTATTGTTAGCGGCAGTAACGGTACACAAATGTTGCGAAAGAAAAATTCAATACGATCACAGTTGGCTCAACAAATGCTCAACTCTTCAACGCGAGTACTCAAGAAGCCGCATTATGTAGTGCGACCAGCTGGGCATTTATCAACAAGTGGTAGCGGCTTGGTGGGCAATCACATTGGTGGCGCAAATCTAGCGCTCGATCCAACATTGTTGAAAATCATGTTTCGCTACTTGCCCCAAGAAACGCTAGTCACTTGCTCGTCGGTTTGTAAAATATGGTCGAATGTGTCTGTGGATCCTGATCTCTGGAAGACAATGAACTGTGCAGAGCACAAATTATCTGCTTCACTGTTGACAGCTATTGTTCGCCGACAGCCAGAGCACTTAATACTCGACTGGACACAGATAGCCAAAAGGCAATTGGCCTGGGTGATTGCACGTCTGCCTGCTCTTAAACACTTATCGCTACAAAATTGTCCCATTCAGGCAGTGCCGGCTCTACACACTTGCCTTTGCCCGCCGTTACAAATCTTGGATCTCAGCTTTGTGCGTGGTCTCAATGATGCCGCCATACGCGATATACTGTCACCACCCAAGGATTCGCGACCTGGTTTAGCAGATTCAAAAACGCGGTTACGTGATCTTAAAACTCTCAAACTAGCCGGCACCGATATAACTGATGTGGCATTGCGCTATATAACGCAAGCATTACCGAATCTGGTTCACCTCGATCTTTCATCATGTCAGCGCATAACTGATGCCGGTGTGGCACAAATTGGCACATCGCCGACTGCCATAGCAAAATTGGTCGAATTGAATTTGAGCGCTTGTCGATTGGTTTCCGAGTTTTCTTTGGAACACCTAGCTAAATGCGAGCAATTGATTTGGTTGGATTTGCGACAGGTGCCGTTGGTACCGACGCAGGCGGTAATAAAATTTGCAGCCGAATCTAAACACGATCTCTGCGTGAAGGATATAAAGTTGGTGGAAAAGCGGCGACCACAGAAAGCGACACAGCTGGCAACGTCTTCAAGCTTAGGCGGAATGGGTTCAGTGAGCAGTTGGAATGACTAAAAATATTAAGTAGGGATATAACCAAAAATTTAGTTGGCTAGTTAATAATCGAAATTAGATTTCGATAAATGATTGAAATGCATAAAATTATGCAGCAAAGCTGAAATTCTAATTACGCTATGCGTATTTGTGTAGGTAAAATGCAGAGCTAGCAGGCGCAAGTATAAACTAATCAGTGCACTATAAATCAAATATTAATCTTAACTCACGATTTTAAAGTATTTGAAGAACTCATGCATTAAACCAGTTATAGAATAATATAATTATGGAAACACAACATACATTTTCAAATTGTAGATAATTTGTAAACGCAGTATATAACTGTCGTATTGTAAATCTTAACCGCATCTTTTGTTACCGAATATCTACAATATCATTCAAAAATTGTGCGGATATATAAAATAAATGTGTCGTATATATAAAATAAAGTTCATTGCGAATTTGAAGAAACATAATCTAGTTTGAATCAAGTCAGTTATAATGGCCGATAGGTTTTATTACAATAATCTGAACTCACCAAGAACGCTTCAACATTTTCATGTCTTTAACAAAACTTAATAAATACTACGTGCTTTAATTTTTTTTTCAATATGTAAATATGTAATCCACAAAAGAACGGCGAAAACTGCATATATTTCCCTGCATAGCTTTGAGTTATCTCCAAATATACAGTAAATTAGCGTTTGAAGAACTATAACAAAACTGCAATTACTGCATATAAGCAATATGAATTGTCGTAGTTGACATACATATGTATACCTGTACGTATTGATATATTTGTTTTAAAAAATGATAGTCGACACTTATGTACATACAAAAATACGTTAATTCTTCATTTGGTATGTTAAGCTTTGTTAGAAGCTTGAAAGAAAATTTGTAATTGTATGTAGTGGTGTATTCTAGCATTAAGCTTTTATAAAATAGAAATGCTATTAAGCTAAAGAATAAGCGCTCGTGTATAAAGCAAATTTGCATACTTATACAAATATGTATGTATGTGTGCAGTAATACAGAATTGTAAGCACACAAGAGCAAATTTAAGGGGGGAGAAGGGTTAATTCATGAAACAATTAAAATATTCTTCAAATTTTGTTAAATTTTCATGGAAAACTATTTGAAAAAACGGCAATTGCAACAATAACTCTGGAGCATCTCGGAAAAAAGTTGAATTGCGGTGCCACTGATAACTCGGTGCTGGATCATCTAAAATCAAAAAATTAAAATTATATCGTTAGATAATCGCTTTTCCAAAAGGAGGGAGAGGCGATTCGAAATTTCAATTTTTCATTTTTTGGGATTTGAATAAAAAAACGCGATTTTTTGCGACAGAAGTAAAATTCTTAACAAAGCTCTCCAGCTTTATATTTTAAAAACGAACGGTGCAGTAGTTTTGAAATTATGAGGGACGCCGACTTTGAAAACGCGAGTTGTGAGAAAAACGCTTTAACGTTTGAGCATTGAAGTAAAACGTCTATAAGGCAGGTATAAAAATAGTTGTAACTTCATCAGTTTTGCTCGAAAAAAATTTAAGACCTACTCCCTTCTTAAGTACATTGGGATAGTTAAAATTATACACACTTGTTCACGCTTAAATTTATATTCCGATGACTTATCATCAGCGCTTTTAGTTACCCGATAACTTTGCTAATAATATGGAGTTTGTGTCGCAAATAATGCAACAGTTAATCCCACACTATTAGATTATACATATATGTATGTATGTACATACTTGGCATGACATTTTAAAATGAAACTTAAGTAGTTGTCTGAGAATACAAACAACAACAAAAATAATATTCAATTGGAGAAGTCTGAGTAGTGGCTAGGAATTTTTTTTTGTTTTTGTTATCGATTTCCTTGTTTGTACAGACATGCATGCATATGTACTTGCGAAACGTTTTCATTACAATTATAGAAATGTAATGCGCATCACACCCAACTCTTATAATTTCAGTCATTATGCATACATACATACATACATATGTATGTGCGCATGTATCTTCATGTGTATTCCATAAGTGAATACATTATTAACAAAATAAGTTACATAAATACATATGAGCATATTTTAAAATATTTAAATAGACATATGCCAATTTTTGTATAAACACACACATTTAAATCTTAAGTGTATCACATATATACATATATTTGAAATGTGCACGTTTTAAGCGTGTAACACAACCGCAATTACATAACTACATATAATATGTAAATACATATGTATAGTTTAAAGAAATGTGTAAAATTATTATTCAAAATTATTGTTTTGCAATAAATATGATACATAAATTCTATTTAAAGACAACGATCAGAATAATGATTTTATTATTTATTAAAAAGAAAAAAACATTAACTTCGGTTGCACCGAAGCTTTAATACTCTTCTCAAATAAAAAGGTTTTCATAGTTGACAGTCCTTGGTCGGATAAAAATTCGGGTCCGTTCCGGTTACGAAGACTCGACTGTCGTGGGAACAGTCACTTTGTATGGCAGCTATATGCTATAGTCGTCCGACCTAAACAATATGTTCGGAGATTGTACCGTCGACTTTAACAATAATCCATGCCAAATTTCATGAAGATACCTTAACTAATAAAAAAGTTTTCCATACATACCTGTTAAGGGTATAGAAATGGTAAGGACGGGGTCCTCACAACAAACTTAGATGCGAATAAAATTACGCATTACATAATGAGTGCTTGTTATTTATTATATTTTTTCATATCAAAGGCCGCAAGAACTAAAACATATATTATACGGTCATTTGTATGAGTTAAAGCCGTTGGGAATATTTAAAACTAATTATAAATAGCTTATTATAAAAAGGTTTATAATAAAATAGCTGAATTAAAACTAAGGGGTGCTAATCCACGCCCACTTTGCAACAAAACTTAAAACCACATACAACCGTCGCATCTGCACTGTATATACCTACATCTGTTACTACGACATGTGTTAGAATACCTCAATTATGACTGGAATATAATATAGTATCAAACTTAAATCACAAAACGCAATTATCGGAAAAAGTAGAATCAATTTTAAATAAAATTATGAATATCTGGTCATCTGCGTTATTTCGTCAGTTTTCGGACTTTGAACTTGAAACACCTTCGATTGCTTACATTCTTTCGTTTATATGTACTTTTCAACTAGACAAAAATGCTCAAATAATCAATGCTAAAAACGTCAATTCATTATCAATAAATCATTACGGCACTTAAGCACTTGCACCCCACTGCTCGCATACACGCGGTGCTCTGGTTAGGAGTATTAATTTACGTATCTCTGTGAATTTTACCACATACATTGTTTTTTTTTAATAATAAGGCGTAGGATTTGAAGGGGTACACATGCATCAACTAAATACAGTACGCCGTCGGTAAAAGTAGCGGGTAAAACTTCAGATCGAGGTTGATGCAATAGTCGAATCGCAAAAAAGTTACCCTGAAAACTAAAGTAAAATTATAATGCTCGCCGTCAGACTAGACTTTATTATGCAAAATCACACGCTTTCAGTTCTTTCGCACATTCTAAGGTTTCACCAAGTGGCATTTAACAGCCAAAAGAAACACAAGAGGCAAACAAATATTATTATATGATTTTATCACTGAATTAATTTGTGAAAAGTCTATAAAATATAGAATATTGGTAAATAAGGCATTAAACGAATGAAGAAAATAAAAAAATAATGATTTTTATTATTATTTGCTGATATGTGTAACGTAGTATGATTTTGATTGGCTGCTATAACTTGCAATTCTCAGGAAACATAACATTTTGTTAGTTTTAACCTCATTTTAAAGAAAGATCCCAATGTATCTTTATTTACTAATTTGAAAAGAAAAACTCTCCAGCGTGGCCTCTTTAATTATTTATAGAAATAGTGTTAAAAGTTTCAAAACGATGGGTGCAGTAGTTTTGAAGTTATTAGAAATACTCATAACTTCGTCAATCTTGCATAGATCGACTTGATATTTAACTACAACATTCTATGTCAAATATTGTGCATTAATTTACAACATTTCAAAACCCTACTCCCCCTTAACATTTCCTGCACAAGGTGGCCTTTCCATGACCGACTATGTGTATGCTCTAAATTGAAGTATATTTTTATTTTTAAATCATATCCAACAAAAATCATAAACTCACATGTATATCTAAACGCAGGTGTATATGTATGTACATTATGTATTTAAAAATAGCAACTAACTCCACATAAGCAAAACAGATTTGACAATAAACTAGCACATTTCAGTATAATTATATATACAGCAGCTATAAGTATGGGGTTGCTAGTAATTTTTGATCAGTTGAAAGAGGTATACATGTGTACAAACATTACAAATTGGAGATAATTGCAGTCCACTTTGTTCTACTATTAGAGAGATGAGTTGAGTGTTTTATGTCAAATTATAAGGTCATCTACATATGGCGAAATTTTTTTGTTTTCGCACATTATTGCTTAGTGGGTATATATAAAAAACAAAAATGTACCAACATACATTTCAATACACAATAAACAGTGAATTCCATTTTTTTAAATATATATGTAATATATACATATATGTCTAATTTAAATTGGTTCCTTTTTCCACCGCAAGATTACTTATACGTTATCTTTGTCATTATGAATAGTTACCGTTCTGAAAAATAGAGTCAAAGTTTTTAAGTTAGTCTATTTAAAATTGTTCTGACTGTATACGTTGAATGTTATAAATGCATATGTTGTTGTATATTGAAGTGTGAAATCCCTTTACACATAATTGTAATTATATTTCGCATTTTGCAATTAATGAATGAGGGCATTTAGTGACATCTATTGAGTAAAATAGTCAATTGTTTACTTATAACAATATTATTTACATAATATTCTTAACTTTTTTTTCAACAACGCAGACGCAAACACGCGAAGAAGAAGCATATATGAGTGATCGGTAACAAAATTGATGGAGGTAGCAGCAGTAAGAGCAGCAGTAGCGAAAACAATATGATTATAGTATTAAAAAAATGTGTGAGACTCCGTCCAAGTGATCGAAATAACTGCGACTACAAGCCAGTTTATCGTAGGCATGGGTTTCAGCGTGTACTGTCGCACCTGTGCTGTACCGCCTAGAGATTTAGCAGATGGAATGATCGACATTTTTGCTAACGCAAAAATTACTACACTTTTGAGTATTATAAAGGAATGGCAATTGGACATTATGCAGGACGATGGACTGTCGCAGTGTATATGTAAGAAGTGCGAATTGGCGCTAATTAAGATTAATACATTCAGATTGCAAGCGTTGAGTGCAAAAAAATATTTGCAAACGCGACTTTATTCATTAGAAACGACAGCCGGGGGTGGAGAAGCAATCGACGACAATGAAAATGACCTTCATACAAATTATGGTGGAGTGGAGATGCATAATAGGGAAACCTTACCGCGTACTTTGCAATCCGAGTACACATCTATACAAATGTGCAAAAAAACGATAAATATATTTAATTCAAATGAGAAAGTGAGCGAGAAAGAACAATCAAACCATTTTAAATCAAGTTTAGATGCAGTCGTCGAAGAAAGGGGTGAGTTATCGTTTGAATCAAATATTGAGCCTAGCAGACCACACGAATTTCAGGTAATACTAATTGAAGAGGAGGAGGAGTCGACACAGTGGATAAACGAAGACGAAAACGCGGGAATTATTTCGATGGGAATTATTGAATGTGAAGAACTTAATACTGGCAAAAAAAATTCCTCAGCGGAAGCTATTGAAACACATCCTATAAATTGGCATAGTTTCACTAAACCGTCAAAAAATAAATCAACTGACTTCATGCCCAATAAAAGAAAATTGAGAAACAGAAAACAAGACCAAAAGGGGAAATATTACGAAATAAAGTCGAACGAATTTTCTAAAGTTTCATCACTTGCTGATAATAACACACCAGGAACACAATTTCATTTCGTTCCTAAAGAGACAACAATAAAAGAAATCGTACCTATTTATGAAAAAGTAAGCGACAAGACTTTGGAAGATCCAGCACAAATAAGTGATAGTCAAACATTATTAGCCACAATAAGCAGCGGATCATTTGAACAAATTAGAGAGTCAAGTCCCTGCTCAGCCGACGATTTACAATCAGTACTTATGAATCAACTCACACTTCAGATGATCAACGCAAATTTTAACATCCTTGAAGGCGATTTACAAATTGACGACTTCGATACCTTGCTGGCTGCGGTTGATGAGCAAGCCTCGTTAGGCTCGATAAATAATAAGGACAAATATTCCAGTTCTCTGAAAAACGAAAGAAATATATTAAAAATAAACATGGGTTGTTGTAAAGGAATTCAGGCACCAAATATGGGAGAAAAGAGTTTAATACAGGCTGCTTCTCACAGTGATAAAGAAAGTAAAGAATTTTTAAGGGAAATGAATGAGATAGCTATCCCTTCACAAACAACAACAAGAGATCCTGAATCTAAATTTATAAATCATACATCAAGTGGTAATTCGAATAAATTGGTATATAAAAAAAAGCCGTTAGACAATTCTATTGTTAATTATGAAATATCAAGTGTAAAAGCAACATCCGTCGCTGCTGGTAGTTCAAATAAAATAACTACAAGAAGTTTGCGCTGCCGCCTCTGTGTATACAATGTTTCGGACCAGCCTGTTTTCGCTACTAAAGAGATGCTGGATAGTCATATAGCTATAGTACACGATGATAAAGAACGGCCATATAATTGTCCTCAGTGCGCGGCACGGTACCGCACGCGAAGCGGATGTGTAGCACACATAAACGCTATACACCTTAAAAAGGGGGACAAATGTGAGTTGTGCGATAAAACTGTTGTAGGGGGCGCCGGACAGATGCGTATGCATATTGAACGCAATCACACCCACGGCAACTATACATGTGAGATCTGTCACATGGAGCTAAGGAATATATCACTTTACAATTTCAAATATCATAAAAGATGGCACAATGAAGATAAATTATGGAGATGCGAGCTATGCGGGAAAGCATTTGTCACACGCACACATCTAATAGAACACAAAGTGACGCACACGCGACAAGGCGAATTTCTCTGTACACGGTGCGGAAAAAGTAAGTGTTGCTTACTCATATTCTACATTCATATGTACAATATCCATGCATATGCTTTATATATGCAAATTATTTGGATTAAATTGAAATTTTATTAAAAGGGACGCGCAGTAAATGGGAACTTCGTACACACCTCTTTGCCATTCATGGCGAAGGAGAAGCGCCATTAAAGTGCAACTATTGTGATGAAAGTGAGTTCAAAATGACATGGCATAAGCAGAACATTTTTTTTTACAACAATTTCATTGCAGAGTTCACTCAACATGTACAAAAACGTGCTCATCTTGAGCGATATCATCCCATGGAGTTGGCTAAGCGTATAGTTTCCTGTTCAAAATGTGAGAAGCATTTCTCTACGGAGACGAATCTTCAACGCCACATTAAACAACAACATAATGAGGTTAATGCCGATATCGAACCCTCCGATGTACTGACCTCTTCCCCACCACAATACGAAGGATTCATGTGCGCACATTGCCCTCGTAAGTATCGCTCTAAATACGCACTTATTAAACATCTTAGAGTGCATGCCGTGATGGCAGATCGACCATATTCATGTCCTGATTGTGAGATGCACTTTAAGCACTTCTCAGAATTAGATCGGCATGATTTGCAGCATCATGCTACAGTACGCCCTTACAAATGCGATAAGTGTGTCAAGGCATTTGCTACCAAAACTGCGCTTAAAATCCACGGACAAGTTCACGAAGGTGGGTACATAAAACAATGGAAGAGCTTTCTTAATCGATATATTAATGTGTAGTCTGTTACACGCTATTGTTTGTACTATTTTGCACTACTAGTAAAGGGTAGAAACTTTCGATGTCCAGAATGTAATCAACGCTTCAAATTTGAAAAATCTTTAAGCCTGCACATTATTTCTCACAAAACAATGCGACACAGCTGTGAAATTTGTAAAAAATCATACATTCGATTAACACAATTAAAGAGTAAGAAATTCTGCACAATATATTAGATACTATGGAACTAATTGCTTCTATTATAGCCCACAAAAATCGTTACCACAAAAAAACGAGTGAGACAGAGGAAGAGTAACTTATTCAATCAAAGGACTACATAATATAAACGGACTCAAAATTATATACAATATTACACAACCAAAAACAGCGTTCACTTCTGCATAATACCCAAACTATTAGCTCAGTATTATGGCTACTATAAAAACGTTGTGAAAAAAATTATAAATAATTATGTGTCAAACAAACGTAGTCTTAAATATGAGTAGGCTTTTACATTTATTATAAATCAAAACTATTAATGAGTATGTACTTACATTATAAATTAATGATACAGAATAAATGTGAAACTATTCTGTATAACTTTTTAGATAATTTTGTGTTTTGCTGCATTAATGTTTGCATACTAATATTTAGCAGCTTTGAAGTCGGGCTCTTCTGCTCCTCCTTTAGGAAACTTTCGTTTTTGTATAATATTCTAAAGACCCAATAAAAGAAAATGAAGTTATATTTAAAAACATTGGTAAGGCTACTTTATTGTTATGTACCTGTATTTTCTGCCATTCGCGATCCAATTCTGCCTTTTCGCTCTTCTCTGTTTTGTTTTTTCGAGTTCGTCTACCGTCTTGCATTTTGACACCATATTGAAATGCAGCTTTGGGTAAAGCCTCCTTTGTGCTCATATAATCGGAATATTCCTCTTGTGTATCGAAATCCCACCTACCAATAGGTCCTTTTTTATTGCCCAAATCCATTTTGGTATAGTCTACTTCGTCGTCAGAATCATCGATGGCATCATTCATTTCTTCTAATCCTGGATAACACTCAGCATAACCTTCGGGTTCATTAGCAAAGCGCGAAGCTATCGCCTTTGTAATCTTTGGCGGCGGTGGTATATTAGTTACTAGCGCCGGCTCGGAATCCTCATTACCTTTTACGTCTGCGAAGTAAGAACCAGCCACAGCTTTTGGGTTATTGTTATCTATTTTTAAACCTTCCTTCTTAGAATTTGGTTGATAATCTCCAATATCGTCGTATATGTTGTCACCTAAAGCTTTACCAGCTAAACCACCACCATCACTTAATCCAGTAATATTGAATGTTTGTTCCATTTCTTTTTCATAGAAAAGTGGTTTATCCTTATCTCTTTTCTTGTTTTTTTTATTGCGCCCACCAGCACGTAAATAGGAGAGAATTTGTGAAAGTTTATTTATAACTATATCATTTGTAGTAAGCGTGGCGATATCTTCTCTATTAACAGGCACTTCAAACTTTGACCGTATTAATGTTGTTGGAATATCGGTTTCACCCAAATCGTCCTCTAAATCAATAACGTAGGCCATGCGACCTGGAGCAAATAGTTCATTACAAGACACTTCTTTGGAGCGTCGAGCTTGAATTATATTGAAAATATTTCGCGCCATTGCGGTTTTTATAGTCATATGATCATCAGCATCCTTGCTTTCAGCTTCAGCTTGTTCAGCTGCAGCGGTTTCTGCTAATTTTTCAGTAGCTGCAGCAACTGCCAATGCTTGTTCTTCTACCTCTTTGGTTTGTAATTCAGAACGGACTTTTTGTAAAAGGGCATAATCGAGACCCTTCACCAAATGCGTGTGTCGCATATCACCACCTAAAAATTTAGATTCCTGTATAATTCGACGACGCCGCTCAGCTGCATCTATGCCTGATTTTAAATCCGGGGCAACAGCACGATAAGCATTAGTGCTACTATGACCAGGTGTGCTAACGTTTTGATAATCTGGATTTGCCCCATCGCGGCGTTCCCTGGCTCGATCGCGATATTTTTCGGACAGTTGTTGCAGTTTACCATCTTCTTGTTTTTTAAGTGCTGCATAGAAATTTTTCTTTTTTCGACGCAAATCATTGCGTTCGCTACTTGAACCTGGAGGTTTTTTCTTTTCTGTGGACGACGATGTAGCTGCTGTAGAATTTACAGAAGGTGTACTCCCCGGTGGCGGTTGACGAGGAGTAGCCAAAAGTTTACGAAAATCATCGTTTGTCAAACGAACTGATTCAGCCATTTATCAGATTGTATATGTAAAACTTAAAAAACACACTATTTAGAAAACGAAAAATATTGATCGTAAATATTTGTAATTAGTTGTGTCTGCGAAATATCGAATTTCGAATATCGATAAATTGCCTAACTTATATTATTATTATTACATTAACTTCGACATAAACATATGTCCCAGCTTACACGCGAAAAAATTATGGCTTTTTAATATTGTAATTCCCGAAAGATTAGGAAATTCGATTCAAGTTGCTTGACTCTTTTTTGGCCAAAAGAGAATTTGCCGATAATGAGCGACAAGAGTCCCCTTGTAAACGCAGCTTATGCAGTCTCCATTAGCAATATTAATAGCAGAGAAGGTAAAATACACGTTATACGTTCTCTGTTAATAGTAATAAGGTTGTCTGACAAAATCGAATGTCTCTTTACATGTATTACAACACAGGAGTATCCAAAACCCAAAAAAGACGTTGTCATTCTATAAACCAAAGAATATAATGTATATGTTATTAAGAAAAGCTTAAATTATTATCTATTCTCGAAATTTAATGTGAAGCTATAAATTAATTGGTAATTCTTTTAAAACTTGATATGAGACATGCAAAAATTAAAAAATAAGTGAATACGTGAAATCATCTTAGGAAAACTAACAGCGCATATGGCAACATCGTGCATATTTGCGAACGCCGGTTTCGAAAATACTAATCAGAAAGAAAAACATTTTTATCAGTTGAACTTAGTGAATTGTATGTTATTATTGTTACAGTTTGCAACTTTATGTTATATATAAAAAGTAAAGATTGTAAATATATATAACACAAAAATTTGACAAAGTTATTGAAGAAGACATACATATACATATGTGTATGTGCAAACTCACTATTGAGTTTTTCTTAAAAGATTAGTGAAGGGAAGGGTCGTTTGTTTACAAAGGTAATATTGCTTAAACAGTTAAAATCGAAGTAAGATTTTTAAAACTGCTTTAAATAATTTTAAATTATAGAATAATATCTACCTATATGAATAAATATATGTCAAGATCATGTGTTCAATGTATAGTTTAGCTCCCCCACATAAGGAGGCCTCAAAAATGAATTTTTTTTTTTAAATAGTCTTATTTTTACGCGTAAATTACAAATCCGTGAGCGGAAAGTGAACTTTTATAATAATTTATGTATATTTTTCATTATTTGTTTACACACTTTGCACATATCACATATTAGTCACTTAGTTGTTGTTGTAGCGGCAAAATTTCAGAGCACTTAGCTGTAATTACCAGTTCAGTGGGTTAAACATTTTCTTATGAAAAAAATATACTGAAGAAATGTAACAGTCAAAATTTCTTTTGTGCCGCGATTTGATGGTATGAACGAATATCGGAGATCGTTGAACTTCTTTAAGCACTGGCGGCCTTCGGCCGCGCTTCAAAAAAAATAACCCTAGTCAGTCAAAAACCGGGGTGTTCATAATTCAATCGCGTCAAACTCCTTTCTGCACTGGCGGTTCTGACATTTGATTAGAAATATGAATTGAATTATAAATTAAATTATCTCTGAAAATAAATCACAATAAAACAATCTATATATTCTTTTTAAGCTAAAATATATAATAGAACCATTTCTAACATGCGAAAAATACGTCGACGTTTCACCTATAAGATTGCTGCTCTGTTAGTTGTTCTTACAGTGGTTTTATTTTTGCTGTTTATTGGGCCTCAGGAAATGGATCGTAATGAGAAGATGTAAGGAAAGATCCATTACTAAATAATAAATATTAACATATTTTCTTATTTTTCAGTTTAATAATGGAACGTGCAATACGATCGCCTATGAATCGTGGTGAATGCCGCCTACCACCGCTGCCTTTAGACGATCCAGAAGTAATGAAATATTATCATCCAACTGATAAAATTCAATGTGGAAATGTTCAAGACGACTGGGTAACGTGTGAGGTAAACGCAAGATATTTTCAATAATTTGAGTATTATTTTGTGATAGCAGAATAAAACCAGACTTTGAACATTTAAAGTAAAAATTTAATAATTCACATGAATTTATCGACTTATTTATAGAAATCTATATGTTTTGTCAAGCCGGAAATAAGTGCCACTCAAGGTGAAGTCATTTGCACTTATACGGATGTAATGCGCAGCACAGATTATAATAGCAAATATGGTAAATCGACAAAAACCAAGGAACCGTACATATTGCGGGCTAGTGATTTCGTAAAGGTCGTGTGTCACAGTTTTACATCTGGTAATAGTTGGTATGGCATTGCCTTTGGCATAAGAGATGGTGTTGCTGTAAAACCGAAAACACCACCACAAGTTCCAATTTATGCTGGGCTCGCTGGTGGTGTTGCCGATATAGTTGCTGAAGATAATAATCCTTTCGTGCCAAAACATTTCAACGTACTTATGTTTGGCTTTGATTCACTCAGTCGTAATGCGTTTCAACGCAAGTTACCTAAATCGTACTCATATTTAGTGCATGATTTAAATGCCTTGGTATTGCAAGGCTATAATATTGTGGGCGATGGTACTCCCCAAGCACTGGTACCATTACTTACAGGCTATACTGAACTGGAATTACCAGAGACTCGAACGCGAATGCCGAATGCAAAGAATGTTGATGTTTATCCAATGATATGGAAAGAGTATGCACGTCACGGTTATTATACCTCTTTTAACGAAGACGTACCAAATATTGGTACATTCACATATCGTATGAAAGGTTTCGCCGAGCAACCAGTCGATCACTATTTGCGCACACTATATTTAGAAGCACCGAATATGTGGAATTGCTGCGTACAACACTGTATAGGTCATCAACCGGATCATGTTGTAATGTTAGAATACACCAAGAATGTAAATATATTTATTACAAATATTAGTAGACAAATTATATAATATTTGTGATTAAATTACAAATTCATATTTATCTTTAAGTTCATGCTTACATACAATGATTCACCACGCTTTGTGTTCAGTTTTCATGGAGGATTATCACACGACTCTATCAACTTAGTAGGTGCTGCTGACGATGAGTTAAATACATGGCTGCGCCTTTTAAAAGATACGCATCTGCTAGATAACACCATACTTATTATGATGTCAGATCATGGCAATAGGTTAGTACTTGAACCTTGGTAAAACTGGCTGTGATGCGAATACGTTAAGATTTCGTACAAAGCAGCAATCAATAGCCTGTTGTTCCATTTTTATTGTATGTCTTAAACACATTTTGTATAAATTAATATATGAAGGTATTTAAATATTTTTTTTATTAAATTGCGCAAACTAAGGTTTTTTTAATTTTATATTATTATATCTTGTATTTAGATTTGCTGAAGTTCGCACCACTCTGCAGGGCAAACAGGAGGAACGACTTCCTTTCTTCAGCTTCACATTTCCAAAATCTTTTCAGAAAAGATTTCCCCAACAGTATGCAAATTTCAAAGCGAACCTTAATCATTTGACTACTCCATTTGACGTGCATGCTACACTTCAGCATCTCCTTTGTAAGCCGGCGACATTATGCAAATATATTGATAGCTACATACATATATTAAATTTTATTGCGGCTAATAATCATTAACTCATAATTAATATTTCAGCGCTGCAAAGCGATTCCGATGACACGCTGACAGATAATTTAAATTCAGATTACGATATGCAATCGGAGGATGTAACTGAAAATTTGGTATCCCCACGTTACAAAAAGCTTGCACAAAAACGCGCTATTTCATTATTCGACTCAATACCAAAAAACCGATCATGCAGCGATGCCTACATCGAACCACATTGGTGTGCCTGTCTCAACTGGCAGCGTCTCTCCCTTAATGAAAGCGAACCGCACATACCCGTATTACTTAAAGCAGCCGATAGCATTGTGACAACGATTAATGATTTAACCAAATCGTACCGCAATCTTTGCGCCCCTCTTGAACTAGAACATATCAATTGGGCATTACGACTTCATCCGCATAAAGAGCTTCTTAACTATAAGCAAAACAGTGACAAGGACGGCTATGTGGCAGACTTAAGTGACAAAATGCGAATACACGAGGAATTATATCAGCTGCAGGTTGTTGTTGCGCCAGGTCAATCGCTTTTTGAGGCTAGCGTCACATATAATTTGAAAACTTTCGATATGCAAACAAAGGTTACAGAAATATCGCGTGTAAACAAATATGGCGAACAAGCCAATTGCATATACGAACGTAATCCGGAATTACGAAAGTATTGCTACTGCCGTGTATAGAGAGCTCTTTGATACATATAGCATGTGTTTAATATTTAAACTTTATAAAATTTATCCATAATTTTTTTTTTACTAGCTTCTAGTTACTGTAGGTTTTTCTATAATATACCTGCGTTGCTCGAAAATATATAAAATACTGAGAGTATTTATATTTTATTATTGTTATATCACATATATGTAGTGAGTTACACATTAATTTACTTCTGAAGACTGTTGTAGAAACGTATGCAGAATGCTCGGTGTATAAAAAGTAGTTTTAAAAATACTTTATCATAAATATAATACCTTAAATAATTACTAGTCCAACACTGGCGTTTAGTCACTGTATTTTCTAACGTGATACACATTATATTATAAAAAAAAATATCAATAAATATTGAATCTACATATGTATAATATGAATTGTTTAAAAAAGTTAAACAGCAATAACGGACGAGTTGCTCCACATCAGATTACAAAAATTTAATAAATCAGAAATTTTGTGTAAAAATTTATTTCCTTTCATTATTTTTTAATAACAAATTATAATTCCTTTAATTATAGTGGTAATTAAATATTTTATAGTTTGTTGCTTTGTTTCCTTTTCAAAGCAAATTCTATTGGTAATGTTAGTTTTTTCGTTTTTAATGTTTGAAAATCAAAGAACGAAACAAAATCTGATGATAATTTATATATATATAAATTGAAAACTTGCGAATACGCTTTGTTCGCTTATAACAAATACGTTTCAATGTGCTGCTACTGATCGTGACTTTAACTATCGTTATTATTTCTTGACGGGTTTGCTGTCGAGTACAGGTTGAATAGTCTTGCCACCAAAGATTTGACCCCAGCCAATTAAACTGTTACAAATTTTAAAAGTTATTTTCAAATATATCGTACATTTCATATTTTATGATTTCAATGGTACTTACCGCCAATGTTTTTCCACACGACGGCTTAGAGCGATTTTTTCTCCTTTCTCAGTGCAAACAGGTGTGGTGAGCACAATTTTAGCTAAATCCCCTTTTGTAGCCGAGATTCGTCCACCTGTACTCAAGGAACCAATATTCACCAATAAAATCTCGTTTCTTAGTAATTTTTCCACACGCGCTCCTTTCTTGTCACCATCCGTGCGTACACCCAATAATCGCCGCAATAGATAATACGAAATTTCCAACTCAATGTAAATGTCAGGTAGGTGGCCAACAGCACCCAGCACCTGGCCAACAAGACGATCTGCGCGACATAGGGTTGGATCGATTTTGGTACCAACGCCAATTAGGCCGCCGGGCACGGCATACTGCAGTTCATTTTGTTCAGCATATAGTGAGACGATACGGGAGAAAATTGGTCGGCAGGTGATATTACCC